CAAATAATGTAATAATTAGATACAATTGACAACGATAAATAAAAGATGACCTCGATCTCTAAATAACCAATAATGCTAAATAAACATAAAACGAACACAAATCTATTCATCCACGTAAGATCGTTAGTAATTTTCAAAACAGTATTTAAAATTTGAAAACCTCATTAAGATAGGCGAGCTTCCACATAAAGGGTTTTGGAATAATACAAAAGATAATTTTCGCTTATTCATTAAATGTAATTAAAAGGGGGAGGCAATGGTGGCGGCTTCGCGAAATTAATATCATGCAAAATAAGGGGCAAGTCAGTGGCTGGCTGATTTTCACATTAAGTGTTAAACACACTGAGGGTGAAAGTGACCTTCAGTGGGTCTATTGAGTAATACATAGTATGCTTGCAAGACCATATGCTAATATTAAAGTCTAAACAAAATACATAAATAATATTACTTATTAAGGAGTAAAACTATTTATATAATCGTTGTTTTTTTTTTTGTCTTATTTGTACAGCTATCGAGACAAGTTCAGATGGGGCCCAATAGGGCCGATGCTGATTCGGAGTCGCGGCGAACCTAATGGGTAACCGCGGCCCGGCTCGACGTGCAAGAGAAGGAACGGGGTGGTTTTTAGTCAGTAAGAGTCTGACACTCCCTCCCGCCTCACCCAGGCGGGAGCAGTCATTCGATGATTTTCCCGCCTTAAAAAAAAAAGACAAGTTTTATTATCCATTTATCTGCACACTCCTCGCATTATTATAGCATTAATAGTAAAACTACCACCAGGAAAAATAGTGGTCAAACGTCGTCGGCCCATCAAATATTAAAAAGACTGGATTTTCAATATACAAATATCTAGGTACATTAAATCCCTTAAAACTTTCTTCTCATGTTAACTAATTTCTCAAAACTTTGCCTAATTTATTTCTCAGTGTATCTACGCCCTAACAGTCGTGATCCACCGGGCGGCTCGTTAGCGGTAGATGCGACGAGTTACTGACAGTTTTTAGAAGCTGCGTGAAGTTTATTATATTTTACTTTTCATTGAGAAACCCGTGTACATATTCATCGTCTGTGAAGGTAAATATGTCTAATGTGTATGTTACCACGATAGCATTTTGGGATCTATAGATACAAAAATAAAGTGTAGATTTCAATGTAGTTTCACTTACATAAATATAAATTATTCTTAAGTGTCTCCTCACTTTTAAACCTATTGTGATGTCAAACACCTCTTATATTCGAATAAGTAAAGTTAAGTAAACAGAGATTTATCTTTAATTCGATTATTTTCATATTTTTAGCGAGTTATGTTCAGTTAGAAGAAGGCCCTTATTTGGAAGCCCCAGAAGGTCTAACGGGTTGCCGGGGCTACAGCTCGAAGAGCAGGAATAGAAATGGGGTGGTTTTTAGTCAGTAAGAGTCTGACACTCCCGCTCTCCTCGTCAGGGCGAGAGAAGTCATTGAATTGATTTTCCCCCTCATAAAAAAGTAAACAGAGGTGAATCAGACCCAGATCCAGAATAAAATGGATTTGTGAATCACACAAATGTTATTACAAGCAATTAAAAATCCTCAATATCACATACACGCTGCCTATACACAGCAGATAATACACAATAATAACAATAACAACGACACTCCTAACAATGTGTGTGTATTACTGTGTATTATTGCATAATGAGTATTATTATTGAATTAACAGTTTACTCGAGATTAGCTAATAGTCCATTACAGAGTAATTGGGGCTGAAGTCATAACATGCCTATTTAGACAGGCTTTTAAGTGGCTTAGGAATGGTAATGGTGGACCTATATTGTGTACCTATGTGTGTGTATTTGTCTATACAGTGTAAACGTAGATAATCGTACTGTATTAGGCTTATTAGCTATACTTGGTCTGCTTCGTTAGTCTCGTATTTGAGTGTTTAGAAGATATGAAGTCTTATGTTTGATTCTTCGTGACGTATTAGCCATAAGATTGATTACTGATTTGGCGTAAGAATGTTAAAGATTAAAATCGTGCTATTTTAGTAATCAAAATTTTCAGTTCTATCTACAAACTCATGAATACAGTGTCATAGCTATATCCTTATTAAATGTTAAAAAAATGAAAGACTGGCAGGATGCCTATTAATTTAGTACACCTCTGCCTACCACTTACTATGCTACAATTAATTCCTCCAACAAACACCATGACCTAACCAAATTCTAAAACATTCCACAGATAACAAAAGTCTCGTAATAATACATAAACTAAAAAACATAGGAACAATAACTTTTCCACACCTAAAATTAACACATAGTCATTAAGAAGATTACAATTACCGCCAGTCTTCAATAAAACATAGATTTACTACAGAAGCACTTGTGTTCTAAGGATTTATTGTAGGTATTATACGACTATTTTAGTCTTACTATCACGTTTACTTACACTAACTGTTGTATAACTGTCTTAAAAGGATTTAAAGTTAAACTGATAACATTTTATAAACACACGTCACTAGTTTTAATACTTATATTGAACTGGTTATGTAAGACTGTGTTCCAAATTGTTTTTAACTCGTCGAGTACCGGTTTAGCAGACACAATTATAGAACAATAGGTTGCGGTCACCGGTGACCGCTTGGTGTTTGATTGGCAGAGGTGCACAGTTATAATATGCACCTTTGCACTGTACGGGCCTGCGGTCGGGGAGCTCGCCGCCCGACCCTGAACCAGACCCGAACGTACGGCGCGTCGCATTCCGCGCGTGCCTCATAGAGCCATCTGACCACCACGGATGGGGCCCAATAGGGCTGATGCCGATACGGAGCCGCAGAGAACCTAGAAGGTTAACGGGGCTCCCGCTCGAAGTGCAAGAGTAGGAACGCGATGGTTTGAGTTAGTCAGTAATACTTTGACACTCTCTCCCGCCTCACCCATGCAGATCGTTCGATGATTGTCTCCCCTTAAAAAATAACACCCTTGCATATATTAAAAGCCTTATGTAGAAAGGAGGTACCTATTAAGACTAACCTGGAATCGAACCACTCTGAAAAATAAGTTATAAGTTAATGTAACTAACAGAAATGGTTAATAAGGTAGATAATCACTAAACTTTAACAATATTTACAAATTAAATTACTGAGTACGCTCTCCTAGTATCAAAATTAAAACTAAATGAATATAAAAACCCCTGTAGTCCCTTTTAACTTATATATGTATATATAAAACCGTTAAACAGACATGTCCATCTATTTACCTAACACCCAGACAAGCCACTAATTTGATACAAATACTCCCAAACCACGACCTACATCAAAGAAACCGCGTCAACCCACCTTCAATATAATAATTAAAAAATATATAAAAGAATACACAAAATTTAAAAAGTTACGTAAATCCCTTATTTAGTCACAAAAACCTTTGACGAGAATACGTTTTTTTTTTTTTTAAATAAACCTATTTCGGGAGCTTTTAATTGGATAAAGTCTATAAAGTATTAGTTCAATCTGTCTACGGGCCGTAGCCCGACGACAGGTCGTAACCTGTCGTCTTTGCAATGACGTACCTAGGCTACTAATGACACCTAGGTAATATATTTGCATAGTGTATGACACAGGTAATTTAATAATATAATTAGCTCTATTTATCCAAATGAAAGTCCATTGACAAGACAGCCAAGTCTGGTGTTGGATTTAATTGTTGAATCGAGAAAATTATCTTTAAATAATTCGATTTTTTTTTTGGGTCTCGGCACAGACTAGTAATTGGTTCGGTTTTTTTTATGATTAGGACTAGAGTGTGCCGGACTCTAAGCTATCCACAAATCAGTATAATTTAATTCTTGAATTTACTCATGACCAATATTAAAGTAGATTATCCATCAAGAAAAACAAAAGTATCAAGCTATGTCATTTGTGACATTAAAAAATTAAAATATTGGCTTTCATGCACACCTGTCGAATTTGCGGCCCATTTAATACCCTGTTTCTAGGAGAATCATAATCTGAAATGGACAATAGAGTCGCGGAGAACCTAACGGGTAACCGAGGCTCCGGCTCGACGTGCAGGAGAAGGAACGGGGTGGATTTTATTCAGTACGAGTCTGACACTCCCTCCCGCCTCATTCAGGCGGGAGCAGTCATTCGATGATTTTCCCCTTTAAAAAAAAATGGATAATAGAACCACTATTATTACCACTGCCATTTCTAAGTGTGGGAGAGCCATGCTTCAGCACGCATGAGCCGGTTCGACCGGAGTGACACCACGGCCTTACAGAAAACTGACGTAACACAAGGCTTGCGTTGTATTTCGTCGTGTAAGTGACGTTACCGAAAGCCCAACTACTCTCCTGCCCTTCCCCAATCCTCAAATTCCTAACCCCAAAAGGCCCCAAAAGTAACGCCTGTGTCCATGGGCGACACCGATTGCTTATCATCAGGTTATTCGCCAGCCCATTTACTAGCTTATCCTATAAAAAAACTATTTCAATCTAACCAAAATAATGAATAAGCCAGACCGAAAAAGTAGCGACAATAGACATGTATATAAAGGTGAATAATAACGTTTATCCATCTCTTAAGTAATTTTAGGCACAATTTATCTGCAGTTTAATAATTATTCTCGAATTACATATTACCTTGGATTATTTCAAACGTTATTAATGTCTTCGAGTTTCATTGAGGATTATAGTTAAGCTGTTATATTTGATGTTTAATCATTGTGTTTTGAGTTTATTCGGTGGAGTTGTGAATTATAGTATGTTGTAGTACGTGTGATTAGTTTTGCTGTGAGATCGATCTGGGGATTTTATTGTGAGACTGCGGCGCCAATAGTAAGGATTATTATCTGCCAGTTAAGACTTTTATCTATTTGGATGTTAAAAACTGTATGCTACTTCTTGAAAAGCATAATTATTTAGTAGCTTTGTTTATCACTTGTTCTCCACAGCAACTTATTATACTTTCATATATATATATGTATGCATTGACAACGTCGGTTAATTTAAAAGAAAGATTTCAATATATTTTTTTAATAATATAATTTTAAAAAATATAGGCACAACAGCAATAACATAACATGGTTCAAGAACTAACTAACTTAATATTGTAGAAATATGAGTATAATAAGTACAAAACATAATAATAGTTTTTCACTCACCAGAGAGCGCTAGTGAGACGTCAAATCCTATTGGTACTTACAGCTTAGCTGTCAAGAACTGACCAATGGACGTAATTAAATAAATACTATATAGGACTATAGGCCTTAGGGTGCAGTAGCGCCTCTAGTGAAGCAAAAACCAACTCCGAATGGCTCAAAGCCAGCTAATACATCTTCCACAGTTTTAAAAACTTCATTATCTTATGTTTTTATTTTAATTGTTCTGTCTGTTGCTTTTCTCTGTCTTCTTTTAGCGCTTCGTTTCTCAATTTATCCTTTTTGTGTTCAAAATACAACCACCTGGGGGCAAAATATGGTATAAAATGATTCAGCACGTCATTGAAATCATTATTTTTTCTTCCATGCACAAACACGTACTTCTATTATAATTATTTACACACATTAATTGAAATAAATGCTTTAGAGTTTTGAGAGTTTGAAACATCAAGTCCTCCACAAATGTATGAATACACAAAATAATGTTCCGATCGAAAATTGAAGCCGAGAAACGTTGAGTAGCAGCTGATCGGCCAGCTACGGCGCCAACAGGGCTTTCTTTTAATTACATTTCTACTTTATCCTAATTAAACCATTTACGATATCGCAAAAGTATCAGAATAGTTAAATTACAAGCTTCTTACCCAAATATTGCAATAGCAGGTAACGTCATAGCAGCGCCTAATAAAAATACAGCTCCGGGCAGAATGTCAAGAGTAGCCATGTATACCCTAGAGTACAGAGGTCCATATAACAGGGGCATCGTGGCTTCTGCCAAACCGAACAAGGAGTTCACTTTACCTGTAAATTAAGCAGATGTGCGTTTAGTAAACAATTTTAATTTCATTCAAGTTTGGGAGAGCCATGCTTTGGCACGAATGGGCCGGTTTGACCGGAGTGATACCACGGCCTTACAGAAAACCGAAGTGAAGCAACGCTTTCGTTGTGTTTCGTGGTGTGAGTGAGGTTATCGGAGGTCCACTTACTCCCCCCCCCCATCTCCCCAATCCCCGAATCCCCAACAATCCTCAAACTCCTAATCCCCAAGAATCCTTAAACTCCTAATCCCCAAAAGACCGGTAACGCACGTGTAACGCCTCTGGTGTTCCAGGTGTCCAGGGGTGACGCCGATTGCTTACCATCAGGTGATCCGTCTGCTCGTTTACCGGCTTATGCCATAAAAAAAGCAACATACAAAATAAACGGAGAATTTTTGCACAAAAACATTCGAATAGGTAAGCTCGCCCAATTATCATTTTTTATGTGACAGAAAAACTTTATATTTATCTAGAATTACGTACCAAATTCTTCGCCATCCACCAGCTTTGTAGCAATAGATCGCATCGCAATGAACGAAGTACCATTCAATATTTCCAGTAGAGGTGCTGTGGAGAAAGAATTAAATAATTATACGCATACAGGACACATACCTATGTCTATAGGAAAGTAGCCAGATGTGTACCTACATAGGAGCATAGACAATGCAACAGACTTGTCCACGACAATGCAACACACTTAGCAGTTATATTTCGAAATTTAAAAATGTTTTCTTTTATTTTGTTTTTTCTAAAATAGATAAATAAATAAAAAAGTTCATTAAGAAAATAACTAAGTTCAGGTAATATCTCCCTAGTTGATTGTATCTATCTATGTATTAGTTTAAATCTAGTTGTACAAATATTTACTTTTAATTTGTGTTAGTTAATAAGTAACTACATACGTACGCAAGTTCGACTGTATTTACTTCGAAGAAAATAAAATAACATTTCTAGGCATCATTCATACTCTACTCTAACTATTTACTTATGTACATGCACGCTATAGATGTTTTATAATTGGACTGAACAACCATCGAACCGAACTGCTTTCATTCTCTGGGCGGACAAATAGTTTTTTTTTCGATTATTTCATCTTTACTCTATAACATAACATAACACCACGCCTTTTTATCCCCGAAGGGGTAGGCAGAGGTGCACATTACGGCACTTAATGCCACTGTACAATG